AACACTATTATATTTAGCCCTAAAGGTCTCTTTTAGGGTTGCACTTGAAGAAATATTAAAAAATTATATTTTTCAATTCGTTTTATTAATTACTCGATTCATGTAATCAAAGTTTAAAATGATCACTTTTAGGGGTCAAAATTTCTGACGAGCATCACTGCCGATTTCATATATGGCATATGGGAGTACACCCACCATCCCCTAGGTATGTCATGTTCACAGTTATGCAAAGTTAACCACTTCATTAATATGCTTATGTATGGTGTTCGTTAAAAGCATTGCAATAATATTACCGGGGTACTGTTTTTTTTTCTCGGTGAGTTAACTGTGTTATCTGTATTGTTTACAAACATTTTAAACTCATCACCAATAGATGAGCATGGGCGTTGGTGCCTTCGAAGTTGGTGGAGCCGGGCAATGCTCTAGCATGAGGAGGAGGTATCCATGGCAACCCTGCGAGCGGCCCCCACCAGGCACCGTCACACTGAACAATTCAGTGGAATACTTACCAACCCAATACTTACCTAGCCCACACCAAGAGGGAGGGAGGGATGGGAAAAACCAAAGCACAAACTGGCAGGCAAACAGCAAGCAATTGAAACAACACTTTGCGAAGAACTGCAAGCAAGCAACTGCGTATATAAGTCACGAGGTGCCCCTGCTGGATACATCGGGCCACCCCTAATATAGCTGGGGAAACAGCTGACCAGCATTGCTTCGAGGTTAACTTTGCCTAAATTACATTTAGCCACATTTTTCTATACATGTATTTCTTTAACAGGAGCACTGGTTCATAGTGGAGACAGTCACACAACAACAGCTGTCAAACCGAAACCAAACAAGGTATGTAGGACTATACAGTTTAGATGTGGGGCATGCACATACACGTACACACAGAGATGTAATAACATTGGTCATTGGACAAAGTTGGACAAAATGTGCACCCTTATTTACAGTCGCCCAGAAGGGTCACACATGCAAATTAAAAAATGTTGCTGCAAATTAAAGTAGTAAATGCAAATTAAAAATTGTACATGCAAACTAAAAATATTACCTGCAAATTAAATATAGTACATGCAAACTAAAAATTGTGCTGCAAATTGAAAATAGAAAACATATCGATGCAAATGAAAAATGAAAAGTCCTGGGCGCGCAGTATTAGTGATGAGGACCTTGTCCAAGCCGTGCGATCTGGCCTTACAGCCATTGGCCCATTCACGTTTGATGTTTGTAATATTTTTAGTTTGCATGTACAATTTTTAATTTGCATGTCCTATTTTTAATTTGCAGTAACATTTTTGATTTGCATGTGTGACCCTTCTGGGCCACCGTACTTATTTGCCCACATTTGCTACATTTTGCAGCAATTATAACAACAATAATAAGAAGTAAATTTTTTATAGCACCAGTATCTTGAATGTTCAAAGGTGCTCTAAAATTAAAGACAGTAGAAAGTGTTATACATGTACACATGTTGTAAAATTTTAACATTTTAAGTTAATTTTTAAAAGCAGACACTTGACAAACTGTTTCTGGATTGTTATGTGGACAAAAGTGTTGACAAGCATCCAGATTTATAACATCTCTTTTTTTCATGGGAGTGGCTAACAGTTCTGTAATGGCAAGATGGCAATTTTCATTCATTTGGGCATCTGTAAGACGTTCTTTAGAAACCTGATAAGTGCTTGTAATTAATTATTTATCTTTCTTCTCCATTGTTGTTGTCATACTTGACTGACTTTAGGTGATGATGACAAAGAGGACAAAAGAATTTGGTAAATTCAGCTCAGTTACTGTGTCTACTATTGATGAAGAAGAAGAGGAAATTGAACAAGTAAGTTTTGTTATTTACCAACTGGATAAACGGCTAGGGCAGGTAAAAAATGGGTCACCACAAAGATTTCTTAATTTAGCATAGAAAGTTATTTACATGTAGCAAATCTTGTTGCATTTGTTTTGAAGAAGTACATTCTGTATAGATAGTAATACTATTATGTAACTTGTATTTACAGAGCGTCATCATAAGAATTGCTAAAGGATTTTAAGTTAAATCAACTTTATTTTACTTTATGTTCTATTAGTAGATTTATATAGTTAGTTACTCTGGTAACTCTGTTGTTGTAGTTGTTACCTGTACTTGTACAGAGATATTTGTAAGTTCCTGTACAGAACCTTTACTGTAAGGTGTGAATGTCATGGTTGCCATGATTTTTCGTTGCCTTGAAACTTACAGTGGGTCATCTCCGAGTACAGACTGAAGGTAAACCCTTGTGTGCCCCGTTCTTTCTTACGCCCATATTACTTTCAAGGACTTGCTATGCACGCTGATTTCTGAGTTGCTAAAATACTCAAAGTGAACGTGAGGCTGAAACATGAAAAAAGAACCCTTTTGGGTTAAAAACACACTGTAATTGAAATGAAAATAAAATTACAAGGGGGGGGGGATGATATTGGGGTATCAAAGCACTCACCCCAGCTACTGTGAAGAGAAGCAACTCAAAAAATGTCCTAAAAATCACTTATTCTCGAGTTAATACCTGCTTTGCGAGTAAAGATACATTTACTAAGCTAGTAGGTAATTTTCATTGTTCATCTGTAACAATAATCATAATATCCCTTTTTCTGTTATTTTTAGCATGAGGTAGCGTCATCGTATGCCCACAATGCTCAGATCATTGAAAAACAACTTGAAAGGAAAACGACTGCACAGAAAAGAGCAACGTCTGACCAGGTGCAGTATTACATCATAACCAGTCCCCAAATGTTTACCCTTGTTACAATGTTTTCCTCTTCCTTCCTCTCTAACATTTCTCACAACTCACATTCTTTTGAGGAGAAAGACGTAAAAAAGAACCCTTTGGGACCAGGTTTAGGGCTGTGCTCTACCTGAGCCTGGTGGCCCCTGGCGTGCTTGGAACTTTTGCTCTTGGGTGACTAGAAAATAATTATTACTTTTTGCATACAAGTCATATGCTGGGCTCCCAGTTTTACAGGTTCAGAACACTGGGCCAATACAATTTTTCTTAGAGCACGTACAGCCTTGCAGGTTATCTCTCACTATTATTTTGTCTCAAGAAGATACTACATTTGCATTCTACCGGGACATGGTAATAATTATTATTCTATGGGTTCACATCTTTTTCTATGCGTAGAAGTCCAATAGAAGCAAATGTTTAGTATTACTGCATGTTTGCTAGGCATTTAATCATTCACAGGGAGATGGGGTCGGGAACTGCAAAAAGTCCCTTGGGGAACATAGAAAGTATTGGATAAATCAGAGGCAGCTGTATGCAGACCCCATTTGCCACTTCAGAAATGAGAAGGGAAGCGGAGCTGAAATGCCTCCCGCAATTGTTTCTGGGATGGTTACTAGGGACACACTGCTCAGCTATTGGCCAATTTTTTCCCTGTCCCCAGCAACAGTCCCAGAAGGCTTTGCAAATGTTAACTCAGTCTAGTTTCCTTCTCCTTTCCTGAATTGGCCCATTGATCACCTTTCCACTTTCTCCAAACTTCCTCTGCACACTTTTGAACTCCAAAGATGGCAGCAACATGCAGGAAATAACTTAGAACTTGTGCACGCCCCCCCCGCCCCCCCACTCTCCTCAAAACCAAAATGCCATGGCATGGCATATCTGCTCGTCAAATATTGCCCTGTATCTCATGCAGCTTTCATCCATTTTTGTTGCACAGATGAAACAAGACCCATCCAAGAAAGCAAGAGGCACACTTATTGATCGAGACTAGCTGACCTGCAGTTGATTATAAGAATCAAAGACTTCAGGTGGAATGTTCAGTAATTGCTGTGGAAATATTTAGAACCGTTCAATTTGCTTGGGTCTTGCAATAGTATAATCAAGCAGATATTTTTGGTATCCAGCAGCAAGGTGCATGGTACTGGGAATGTATGCCTTAGCACTGTCGTCTTTGCACGAGACAAAGGTGGAGATTTCACTCATGAAGAAAACACTGTCGAAAGCAACCATAAGTAATACTTTTGCACATAACCATCTTTACAACAGGTGCAAGTACATGTGATCTAGATCCAATCTACGAACAATCCATCCACTTCTCTGGGTGCTCTGTGCATGCCTTGCCACCTTGGGGACCCTGTGTACGTTTTTACAACCAGGGTCAGACCAAGAATCTGTCTGGTTGTTTGAGAACGTAATGTTTTTCAAATTAAAAGCTATTTGTAAACTGCGACTGTAGAGAACTCTTATGGTGTACTAGCCATCAGTTGTGAGAACTGCCAGCATCAAATCCATTGATA